GCTTCACCTCCGAGCTCTCTGGGCTGCCGTGCCAGCAGGATGCTGATGATGGCCGAGCGCTTCCGGGCCTTCACCACGTCGGGCGCAGCGCACTCCTCGAGTCCAAAACTTTGCCAAGCGATGCTCTTCGGAGCGAATCGCTTCGCAAAAAAGCGGCTCTCTTCCAGCTTGGCTTTCCAAACAAACAAAAGAGGAAAGGGGAAAGGACAACGTTGTCGTGCCAGTTTGGGCAGCCCCTCAGTCAAAAGTGGCATTGGAAGAAATCAAAGTTGAGCCACGCCATGCAGACCTCCGGACGGTGGACGAAACATACAAAAGCTGCACTTCCTCAGCTGGCTTTGTATTGTGGAAGTTCGGAAGTTCGCTGCATTTCTTCGCGTTCACAAGCTTCCGTGAAAACGGCCTGTGGCATTGCCCAACGGCTCCCCAGACAGCCAGTGGCCACGGCAAAAAAGGGCACTGCTTTTGTGGTTGAGGCTTAGAGGCGAACCCCCTCCCCAAAAAACGGGGGGACAAGGAAGCGACTCACGTTTCGGGGGGGGGGGCTCACTGGAATGATATGCACCTCCATGTCCATCGGGGGCGGGGACGAGGCTGACATCAAGCTACAATGCCGCCATGACTGGTGACTCACAACTTGAATCCCAACCTGGGTCCGGTCACTCGGCGTGATGCATGCGAGTATGCGAGTCTAGATCATCTAGATACACGCTGGGCCTTCTCAACAAGCACCGGGAAAAAGAAGAAGTAAGGTTCCCTCATGTCCTGTCCAGGGCTGTGGGGAATGACCACTTCTGTGATACATGGAAAGGGCTTCCCAAAGACTATTTTGTTCATATAAAGGGGGATTTCCTTGTATCACAGAAGTGGGGAGAAACCCCTTGATCCCACAACCCTGGTCCTGTCCAACTCGTTTTTCGGGCCAAGGCTTTTTCTTCAAAGCAACACCGATCGGGACAGGTCTCCTGGCCCTTGTGCCCGATGTAGCCAAGGCCTTGGCGCAAGAAGGCGCCCGGGAAGAAGGCGCCAGAACCAAATGTCCCATGTTCGACCCTTTGGAGGTTGCAAAACTTGGAGCCTTGATGATGTTGTGGATGTTTTGGGATGTTTGTGGATGGCTTTGGATGGTGTTGAGGGCTGCGGGGCTTTGGCGTTTTGGAGCTCCCATCTCGGCATCGGAATGCTTCGCCTATCTAGAAAAACATGTATTCCGGTCAGTTGTTCGACCTTTGGCAAGACACCGCGGCGGATAATTCAAAGGTCCCACATGTAGATGAGCGCACCTATTCATGCCACGCATATTTGCAACGGAAAATGCCGAATCCGGAAATCGGAACCCGGCAAAGACCAGCTCTGGCTGCAGGGATTCCTACCTGCCGCCTGGCAATAGGCTGCTTCAACGTGCATGCAGCGCCAGGATTTCCTGTTGGAAACCCGGGATGCCCAATGGAAGCTTTCCTTGGACCACCGAATGCTTAAGATTCCCGGAGGTGGTGACATATGACCCCCGCAGCTTGCGAGTACCTTCGTCCTTGCGATATAGAGACTCTGATGCCTGGAAACCGTCTATGTAACATGCGCCACGTCCACAACCAGCAGTAAACCCGACAAATTCAATCTGATAAACCCTGCTGAGCATGCGTGATATATAAATTATCCTCCTATGGTTGGGGGGGGGGCATGTCAATGTGTGATTCGGGCTTCTGAGGTTGTTCAAAAGGTAGAGCAAAAGGAAACGACCCATTTAAGGGATCATACGGGTGTCATGGATACCTAGAGTATACGTTGCAGCCAAGAACCCTCAAAAACTAATACCCTAAATGAAGGGACCCTTTAGCGTCCATCATACGGATCCTCCCCTTCTTTGGCCACAAACACCCCATCCGAGGGCCCGACTGGGATAGGACTGCTGGTGGAAGAACAAGGCCAGGATGATGAAGGCCCCCGCCGCGATCTTGATGCTTTGCACCTGCCCCCGACGTTCTCTCAATCGCCGCCAAAGCTTTTGCTTGCAAGCATCTGATGTGGCACCGAAGGAGACAAGGAGTGTGTGGTTTTCTCATCCAAAAATATGTTCATCTACTTATCCAGGTTCTCGTGTGGCGTGGAAGAAGTAGAGAACTCTTTGGTTTGTCCTCATCTCAAGGACCATTCAGGAAACGGACAGAAATCCAATGAAAAGTTCGCCCCAAAGGTCCATCTGCATCAGCTTTAAGATGCCTCATTGCCGGGCATATCTACTGCTGAATACTCGTAAGTATGATTCATCAAGCAAGGGCGAGGAATACCTAGAGCCAGACACGACGTGCTGTTTCACTTCAGTGATCTCTTTCTGCCGTGCAAGGCAAGGGGAGGGAGCGGGGGGGAACCCCAAGAAAAGTGTGCAAAAGGGGCTAAACCTCAAACAAAGACACAGGGGAAGGATAAACAAAAATCCTCACATCTAGGTTTCCTTCATTTTGGCGGCGGCTTTTTTCAGCGGTCGGTCAGTTGAGCGTTGCGTGGCCTCCGCGGGATGCGTGAAGGACAAGAACTGGGTGGAGGCCCCTTCCATCTGGTCTGCAGAGCCCAGGAACATCATGTTCACGATGTCGATCATGTCCTCGGCGCGCGCAAAGCTAAGCATGCGAACGAATACGCGCCCAATCGTGGACGATGTCCACCGGAAGAAAAATAAAAATCATGGACAAGCTCGCAAAGAATGCGCGCACCCAATCAGCCGGACGAAAAAATAAAATCATGGACAGACGGAGAAGTGAAGAGCAAAAGGCCGCCAATACATCTCCAAAGCCTTTCTAAGCTTAACCAAATTGTTCTCACAAGACCAACCGAACTGCCTTTTCACCTGAGAAGAAGTGCATAGTCTGTTCAACAATCTCGGAAGCTGACAAACGGGTTTTGGACGACGACAGGCCTCTTGAACACTGCCATGCTTCACCTGCCAAAAGAAGCACCAAACACAGCTCTAATTGTCTCAACTCCGACCCCCTTGCAACCAGCAGAAAAAGATACGCTTGTCTGGACAATTCCCCCTAAATGAAACCCGAGAGGAAACCGTTTTAGAGGGACCTGTCAGCTCGTAAGGGACCCCCAATACGTCCCTTCAAACCAACCCCAAAAGCGACCGAAACCCATCAACTGTTGGTTCTACCAACAGTATTTTTCAGATGAATATACGCCTTACTACAAACCTTTTTTTGCTACAAAAAAACAAGGAAGAACCAGCTCCCAAAAAGCAAACCAGGTAGGAACCGAGCCACCTCCCAACATGGCCTCCCACAAAAATTGGCAAGGTTTGGGAGAGCCCAGGACCCACTGGCGCCGCCGCGAGAAGAAGCCTTCGCCGAGCATCGATCACGGTGTGCCAGACCATGTCCTGCAAGAGCGCCGCGTCCAGCGTGGGACTGTCCCGCCTGAGATTTCTCGGATCGGCGGGGCCCGAAACTCGAAACTTGAAATCGGGTGCGCTCGCCTTTGGGTGGGATGTTCTTCTGCTTTTTTCCAGGGAAGCCAAAAGGAAACAAAAGGAACCCGGTGTTTTCAAGAAAACCAAAAGGAGACCAAGAGGAAAGCAGACAGTCTGGGTTCACAAAATGCCGGAATCCGTTTCCTTGGTCTACAGGAAAACCAAAAGCACACCAAGCCCCTTGAGGTTCCCCCGTTGCAGGAAGCAGCTTGCAGCAGTCCCAGCGAGCTTCGCCGATTCGATCGCAAAATGGGGGGACCCGGCCAAGTCCAAGAGTTGGGACCCGCCACGTGGCAAAGAGACGCCAGATGTTCAGGGCCTATTTTGAGAAACATCCTTGTCCTGCTTCTCAAGGTCGGAGTCAAACCCGACCTTGACATCTTTCAGCACGGATGCGTGGAGTTTCCGGAGGGAAAAAAACACGACGGGTGTCATAGCTTTTTCCGAACCGCGTGGAAGGTCAACCGGAAGGCTCCGGTTCTCAAGGAAATGGCTTCAAAAGCCGCAGTTCCAGACAGACAAAACATATCTGCACATATGCTTGCAGCTATAGTCTATTTTTTGCATACGTGATGCGAGACTTATGATCAAGTGTCTCTACACAAGTGTGATGGCCCGGCAAAGCATGGATGCAAAAACATTCCTGGCTATGATGGCTGCCCTCACCCATTGCTTTCCAATCCAAAATAGGTATGCGTCTTTCTTCGGGAGGACCTCGATTTATATGGTGCTTCTCCCTTGAAACCTAGCTGCAAAAGGTACCGAGCCTTAACAAAAAACAACCCCTTCATGTCAAGGGCAGTTGCAGGAATGGGTCTTGGAGATATGGAGGTTATACCGACTTATATACGGGGTATATACTGCCTTTTCAGCTTGTATTGGTGGTATATAGGCATCCATCCCTTGTATGTACATATATATATACATATATATATATATATATTTATAATACATATTATATAAGGGACTGATTCTTGAAACGGGTGGCCCATGCAGCCGGCCCAAAACGCACGCGCCACCGGCCAGCGGTAAGCCACCGCGCCCGCCTCTTGCCAGGCACCTGCTCGCGCTTGGTGGCGAAGAGCTGGCGCAGGGTGCGGAAGGTGAGCACCGCGTAGAAGAGCGGCGTCAGCCACATCACCTGGGTTTCGACGCCCCAACAATTTTGTGGGTCAAACATAGGTACCTGAAACGGAACCCAGATAGATAGGCAAAAATAGGTACCTGAAATGGAACCCAGATAAATAGATGTTTAAACATGAGAATTCTAGGGGTAGCTTCCATTCTTTCCAGCGATCCGGATCTTTCTAGACAACCTCCGGAAACCCAGCGAAAACATAGTTCATAACACATAGGGGTTGATCCCTTTTCACATCACCTGATGATGGATGGCGACGCCCAAATTGCCTGGTCAAAACGCTGTATCCCTGGTGAACATCAAAAGTATCCAAGGTGGTTGGTCGTGTACCGCTGCTGAGGACCGGGAAGGATCCGCATTTATTGTGGTGAGCAATCAATTGTGGCGGCTCGTGGTGTCCCACTACATTGCCATTTGCTGGTGTGCCTTCTTGCTCGGGGGGGTGTTCTTTGGTGTTTGCTTTAAAACCACATCACCTCAGATGCTACACCGTGAGCTGGCAGCTTTTGGGCCGTCCCCAGTGGTTTTGTGCTCCGGGTTTGTCCCCACCAGTGTTTGTGCAGAATTAGTTTATTTCGCGCACTGCCACCAGACAGCAAGAGAGAGAGAGAGAGACAGAGAGAGACAGAGCGAGAGAGAGATGGCCCAATTTGCTGAGGGGAATTTGCGAAACCCAAAAGGGGTTTGGAATTATGTGCCACTACTTTCACCCTGATCGGATTTCGCATTTGGACCGGCTGAAGCAAAGCGGCTGCAAACTTCGCATTCGGAACGGCTGAAAAACAAAGCGGGCAAAGCGGCTGTGGGGCTACACGTGAGTTAGATGGCACAGATTCCCAGAAGGGAAAGAGTTGGAATGACCCCAACCTGAACCATCCACCTTCTGGTTTCTTAGGGAAGCCCAAAACCCGGATCGGGGCGTTCCCTGAGCACCAGCAAGATGATACTGTGCATGGACAAAATCCATTTCGCACCACCAAACAAACCCTGGATTCTGATGAACCCCCCTGTAAATACCGCAGCAATGGTTTTGTTCCCCAAGGACCCCACCCCTTCATCAGGGGCTTGGTCTTTGCGGGTTGGAACAAGGCGGTCGTGGACTTGCTGCCGCTTCGATTCGCTCGCTGAAACTCAGAATTTCCGTTTTTGCAGACATGGCGAATGCGTCCAATGGTCTACGGGAGACTTCCGAAAAGAGACCTTGGCAGAGCACAGCCTTCAAGTCCACTTTCTTGGGATGGGCAAACGATGCCAAAGACCTGGTTTCCCAGTGTCCACGCTTCGCGTTGTGCTCCGCAAAAGCACCGCAAGAAGCATCTCCCGGCTGCCCTCTGCCCAAACCTTACGCCTCACATATCAAACAAGAGCCGCCTAGCGAGGAACACAGTGGCAAGATCTCTGGCTAACAAATGATCAAAACAGGCCCTTCGCTTGTGCACAGTCCGGTGTGCCTTACCAAGAATCCGAGAAGTGCCTTCCGGCCCGAATCGGGCTCCGCATCCGCGCCCCCCCAAAAAACACGAGGAGGAATCAAAGCCGTTGAGTCCCGCCAGATCCCTCGCATGGATTCTCCAAGACTCCGTCATGATGCTGCGGGTGGTCATCAGCTCCAGGGCGAAGGGGTCACCCAAGGTGGGAGTCAGCTGCGGAAGCCTCGGAGCAAAGGAGCAAACTCCAAAGGAAACCGAAGGAAAAAGGTTCCCCCCCGGAACCTATCAAGTTGGCGCTTCTCCAGGGGTAGTTGTCCCTGTAATTGGTCCCTCCGAGTCCCTGATTCAAGTGGGCCGACACCTGGGAAAAGCTGGGAGGCATCAAATGTCAAAGGGCTGCCCTTTGTTCAGCAACTGGATCAACGGGCCTGGCCCTGAAGGCCCAATGTGACCCCCAAACGCCTCCAAACCATATAGCCCCCATGTGGAATGTAGTGGTGCAGTGAAACCATTGGATCCCAAAGGCAACCACCCCTGATTGGCATGGTCCGCCACGTCAAATCAGGGTATGATTGTGCACATCTCTGCAACAGTCAGAAAAACCCCAGAGCACACTGTCAGCCAATTATACAAACGAATCCTCTACGGTCTGGGGCAATTTGTTCAGCTCTTCGTGGGCCGCTTTGCTGCAACCTGAAGGCCATGAACGTTCACGCGGCACTTTGCGTTTGCGCCTCTGCGCTATGCCCTGTGGATTGTCCTGATCACTTCCAAGGCTCTTGAAAAGGGGGTCACCTTTCTGATCAAATCGGTGCGTCTCCCCCAAATGCGTGGCTTCCCGCTTTTAGGCTCCCCTTTGAGACCCCGTTCAAAAGGAAAACCCCTCAATACGAGACATACCCAAACTTCACCCAATGGGTCGAAGCCAGGCCAGTCACCTCACATCTGGTGACCCTAGGAAATTCCGAGAGGCCCAGCATCCAAGTTCTGAAGGCAACGGAACAAAATGTGACATGGGTGTCAAACTGTTCAGGAACCCCCCTGGTTGCTCTTCAAAGGAAAACCAAGAGGGAAACCCACTCATTTTGAGTGGTCCCCTATTTTGTCTCAACAGCCAAATGGAAACCTCAAAGGAGCCTGCAACCCACCGTGAAGTCTCGACATGATTACCTTTGCGGTCTGCGACTGCCTGAGACCCCCGCGTGTCAAAGAACAGAACACCTGCAATGATGGCTATGATCCAGGAGTAGCTGATCCTGAGCAATCGGTCCCCACCCCAAGCTGGGCTTATGGAACTTTGCCCTTCGGAACTTTGGAACACGCAGTCTTTGAAGGAACCCTCTCGAAATATGCGAGCTCGATCCTGTCATCTGCAGGAAATGAAGAAAATCTCAAACACGTCTTTGGACCAGAAAGCAAATGACCCAAGCCACAAGCTGACGGGCAGAAACTGAGAAGTAAAAAAAAAGCTGATGCTAGGCAGATGCCTCAGAGTACAGACACGCCCAGTTTCAGGTACATGCAGGGAGAGCCAACTCGCATAGCACCTTCCTAGTAACCTTGACGGACGGTCCTGCTGGTGCCGCTAGTGTGATGCTGGTGCTGGTCGATGCGAATGCTAAAGCTTCAATTTCTTGTCGTTTCAGCAATGAAGATCCTCGGTCTGTCAATCTAAGCGCCGATGACAGGTGGGGGACCCTTTTGGTGAGCCACGTTCAACAAAAGTGGGGAAACATACTGTGGATGGGCGAAATCCTGCACCACCTCTGAGACACCACGCGAAGCCATGGTGTGTTGTTGCTTTTTCTTGTTCTTTTTAACAGGAGAATCATCATTCCAGGGATTCCAAGGCGGGATGGGCAAGTAAGGACGCAGGAAGAATGGCTGGTTCTGAAGCTAAGGGACACCAGGTGTTCGCTCTTTTCTTGCTTCGTCATGTGGATTCCCTGCGTGTTTCAAGCTGGTACGCAAGCAGTAATCAGATGAGTCAGATAAGAAGCACAACCCGTTTCTCATTCCGGGATTCTGTAATGCATAGGTTTGTTGCTTTCTGGGCAAGCGCCAACTAATTCTCATGGCTTGTCAGCCGCAGTGAGCCCAGACAAGAGACTCATCAGCAGAGCCCGGCACCCTAACCTGCCGCTCTGAACCACTTGGGAGCCTAGCTGGGCAAAGACCCCATATTTTTTCAGCTGCTGGGAAGAAAGCTTTAGAAAAACAAGCAATGAGGAGAATCATGTGTGTGTGTGTGTGTCTTCAGCTCAAAGGGCAAAACAGATGCAAGACCGCCGTTCACTTTTTGTCGGGTGGAGGAAACCTGTCGTTTTTGCCACAAACTCAACCACACCACCACAAGACAAACTTTACCAACAGCCCAAAACGAGAAAACCACCTCATAATTTCGAGGACCCCACACAATTCTGTGCACCTTCCCCCCCCCCCTCCACCCCCCCATCCGACATCCAATCCAAGCCGCCACTGGAGTCCGCCCACCCGGGCCTCCCGGGCGGAGCTGCTGAGCGCCGTGGACACGAGGTGCAGCAGCAGCGCCACTTGGGGCAGAAACAGCAGCCACAGCCACTCCTCGGACCCGTCGCACGACTCAAGGACACGGCACGCGGACACCGAGAAGAGTCGGGGGAATTGGGGGAATTGGGGGGAATTGGATGGCACTCGGACACCGAAAAGAGGGGGGAGGGGGGGGGGGGAGGTGGTTGGGGGGGGAATTGGGGGGGCCAAAAGACACGTTAAGAATGAGGCAAAAAGAGAGACAAACTGGAATCATGAAGGGCTTGAATAGGAGGTTGGGGTCCATATAAAGCCAAAAATGTGTCTTAGAATCATTGCAGTTATGAATTGGAATTACGATAATTTTCGGACTTGGAATACATGAGATGATCAGAATGGAAGGGTTTTAATGGGGTGGCGGGGTGCTTTGAAACCAAACTGAGCCCCTTATCCGCGTTAGACTCGTCTAGTGATGCGGGCGGGATTCGCGTTTCGGGCCCCTTGAGTCGGAGAAACCCGAATTTTGGAGGTGGGAGAAAAGACAGGATCCCTGACGTCAAACACCAAACATGGTCCGCCAGTTTTAGAAACCTCCAAATATGTTCGTCTCTTTTTAGGGGACCCAAAAAAGACAGACCCAGATGGCATAAACGTGTTGCCTCACGCTGCGTCCTCCTGATGGCAAATGCGTTCATTGATGGTTGAATGTGCACCGACAGTCTGGAACAAGAAATGTATGCAGCAAACCAGCTGAACTGGAGTCACTTTTCTGTTCGCCCAGAGTACAGCGTCCAAGGAAAGCAGCTCAGGGCAGAATCATATGGGTGGGAATCTTACTCGGGGACCCTTTGTTGGGCACCGTGGGCCCCAGGTGATATGCAGTCGAGTTGCCAGAGCAGACCATGAATGATGCTGCAATATGACCTCGCGCGTAGTCCGGGAAAGAATGATCACCGCAAGGCCTACAATTAAACAGTCACCAACTCAAACTCACAGCCGGACCTTTTGGTGCACACCAAAAGGTAGGGGGTGTTTGAGGATACCCTGTTTGGGCTGGAAGTGCAACCAAAAGGACTCTCTTTGGTGCCGTTGCCCACGAGAAACAAACCCAAATGTGTCCGACCCCGCACACGTGCAGCTGACACAGGGCACTGACTCCTGAGACCGTCTAGCTACAGAGAATCTCGCCTGTTGCACCTCTCAACTGTTTAACTCCCCCCCTCGGAATGGAAAACCGAAAACTGGGGGAGGGGGGCTTTTTTTCGGGTAAAGGATCCGGCATGTCGCCAGCTCTGGGGTGTGAGCCAAGGGAGCCTCACTGGATGTTCCAGGGCTGTAGGAAGGAGGACGAGTCCTCCTTGGCCCTTTCTGGTTTGTGGGTTGTTTTCTTCCCTCCCGTCTCGAGAGTTCCACCTGTCAACAACCAAAAGGCCTGGGTTCCTTTTCTGTAAACCTGCCACCCGACTTCCGTCAGACACAGGTGAGTCTAAACATCAGCAGGGCTGCATTGTCCAGCATGATCATCTGCCCGAGCAGGATGACCTCGGTCGCTCCACAGGCCCACGAGGCCAAAAACGCCACTAGAGACCAAGGACGCCGCGGGAAGCAGGATGTTGGACACGATGAGGATGAGCTTCAGCAGGATCAAGCATATCTCAGCTTGCAGCTCGTTTCCCCAGCCACAAGGATATGTTTGGATCCTTCCAACGTGTACACTCCCGCATAACTCGCAGGTCGGACAGCGGCTCCTTTTTCAAGCAACTTGGTCCACTGTGAGGATCAGAGTAACCCAGGCTAAACCGCGGCGACGACCTCTTGCGCCTGTCTGCAAGCAAAACTCCCTTCAGCCACTGGCTGCAAGACGTCTTCTACATGAGAGCAGAAATAGGGAGCCAAGTCGACCGTCAAGCCAAAACCCACCCACCCACCCACCCACCCGCCCGCCCGCCCGCCCACCCAAAGCCAAAGCCAAAGCCAATGCCAAAAAGCAAAAAAGCCACCAAAAGCTGCATAAACCAACAAAAAGCCGAAAAGCCAAGAAGCCAAGAAGCCGAGAAGCCAAAAAGCCAAGAAGCCAAGAAGCCAAGAAGCCGAAAAGCCGAAAAGCCAAGAAGCCAAAAGCGGAGAAAATCAAAAAAAAACTACAGAAAAAAAAACACCTCCATTTGAACAAGCAAGACATGCTCACTGTCATTGTGGGCTGAAAATTGGTCCGCGATGCCTGAAAAACGAGAGGGTACCGTGCATCATGCCACAAGTTCGTTGCCGTGCATTCTGGCAGTCGTGAGCGGTGATGCGTTTGTTGTCAGAGTACCAGATGATTTGGTCTTTTGCGGCCCATGGAATGAGTTGACCCAGTCGCCCATTGGAAGAGGTGTTGCTTTCGCTCACACTGGTGTGGCAAGCATTTGACTTGGATTGCTCTTCAACAGCCTTGCCAGTTTCTTTGTTCTTTTAAGTTGAATACTGATGGGTTCCTGGAAGTTGGCCAAACATTGATGTTCCGCATATAGTGGAACTGCCACAACGAAACCAGGCGCCAAGCTCTATGAAAGCGCTCCCGTCGCATTTCTCCTCAAGAACCTTGGCTATCTGCATAGCTTGAAATTCCGTCTGCGTTGTGTTGCGAAGGGTCCTGCCAGAAGCTGTTCCCTTTACGTACCCTCGGCCTCAAAAAGAACCCTGTATGGGGTCGTTTTTTTGTTGAGGGCACCCCCTCTTTTGGGTGGTTTTAAGGGGAAACGAAGAGGAAACCGAAGCTAGTTTGGGGGCCTGGATCGCCAGCTGCTGTTTTCTCTTCTTTTTTTCCCCCTGCACTTTACCCCAAAAAAAAAACATGCTCAGCAGCGACTCGTAACAAAGGCGATCGCAACTTGGCGATCAAAAAGAACACGTCGCTCGATCCGTTTCGTCGGCTCGATCCGTTTCGTCGGCTCGCGAGCGAGTGAGCCAAGGCGCCACCCAGCACAGCCAGCTGAGCGGGTTGGATCGGACGTGCCTTGACGGGCGGCGGGCGGCGCAACCCGGACGGACAGCGTTCGGGGAGGTCGTTTTCGAGGGAAGCCTCTATGGCCAGTTTAAACAAGGGCATCCAAAAGAAAACCAGGCAGCTTAAAAGGGAAACCGAAAGGAAACCAGCCATTTCAGGCGCCTTATGTTGAGACAAGCCCATGTCAAGGAAGCTTGCGCCAACAAATTGGGCAGGCCCAGTTGCTGTGTTGGCACAGTGGACGCGAATGACCAGTGGCGAACCGCTTCATAAGTACGAAGAAGATACAAACACCACATCGTGGACTGGACGATTAGCCCTGAAGCAAAACAACTCCGCCAAACATTCGTCAAGGATCAACCCCACAAGGCACACGGCAGCCTTTCAGGAAGCAACATGAACAAAAACAAGCGACTGGAAGGAGAAATCGTAACTGCAGCGACTCCGAATACCAAGTCAAGAAGTCTGAACGCAGCGTTCCAGGGAACGGGAGCAACCAACCGGGTCCACACATGTTGTGACGGCTAGAAACGCAGGCGCCATGTTTCCACGATTGTGTTCGTTGCGCGCCGCCAACTTTGATCCATTGTTGGTAGCAGGATGGCTTCCCCACCTTGGCATGCGTCCAAACAAACCTTGGCCTCTTGCAGCCCAAGAACGAAAACGTGGCTGTGGGTCAAAACCCAGGAAACCCCGGGTGAACATCAAAAATAGCTGGCAAATGGATGTTCATCCACCCCAAAATGGAGCCGTAGGTTATGCCCCATGGCCACGTAAAAAACCAAAACACATGCAAAGAATTGCGAAGGTGAAATGACTCGAGATCTGCACCGGCCGCACCCTAGGCCACTCGCTTGAGCTCTGGTGGTTCTTGGTCGGCATAAACTCTTGGCGTTCCAACCGAAATGGGTGTCTTTTTTGAGGGTGCGGCTTTGGTTGTTCTTTCTTTGTGGGGGGGGGTCTACACGGAAACCATCAGGAAATACCATTGTGGGGGTGGGGGGTCCCCCTATTCAAGACACACCCAAGTGAGCGCTCCAACTAAAGTAAAGTGCTGACCAACTGAGCATATCAGCTCGTATGTCACTGTGGCATGTTATCAAGAATTCTACCAGCAGCACAAGATGCCAGCACTTCACTAGGGAGTTTGACCATGGCTCACAGCATGCGTCCAGTGCTAGTCTTCCTTCTGAAATGTTTTGTTTGGCGTTCAAGCCACATTCTCTGATACCTGGCTCTCCTCTTGATACAAAGTTGCGGGTCCCGATCTGTAAACCCCATGGCGAACATGGCGGGACATGTATTTCAACATGGGTGTCCCCCCAAAACACACTGCTTTGCTTCCTTTCGGCTTCCCTTCCAAACAGGGCCCTAGGAAATGGAAAATCCACTTCTGTGATACAAAGAAAAAACGGGCTTACGACCAACCCCCCCTTTTTACATGGGGGAGATTCCCAAAAGTATCTCTTCCATTTGGTTACGACCCCTGGAAAAAATAAAAATATGTCCAGCAGTGATAAATTCCTGGAAAAACAAACAAGGGGGGAAAAAAAACCTTCTTAAGCAAATGGAAGATCACAGTGGTTGGATAAACCCCGAGTGACCCCACACCCGCGCTTCAAACCGCCTCGTTTCGAGGGGTCGGTGTCTCCCAGTGCGGCGGAGCGGCGGCTCCGTCGCCGACAACCGGCGCTCCGTCGACTTGGGCGTTGAGTGGGGCGACGCAGTGTCCATGGCAACGGGCGCTTCGTGGGTTGGGGTGGGGTGGGGGTTGGGGTGAGGTGGGCTGGGCTGGGCTGGGGTGAGGTGGGGTGAGGTGGGGTGGGGCTGTGATTTGAGGTGGGTTCGAAGATTCGAGCGGGGCTTGAACTCGAAGTCGGGGCTTGGTCCAATCGCGAAACGGTGTTGGCTCTCAAAAACAAATGTTGGTGGGCTTCTGGGTTGGTGCGGCTGTGCTTTGGCGAGTGCGTCGCCTATCCCTCCGCCCAACGGAATAGCGACGAGTGGTCGCTGTGAATCAGCTCGATTGGTGAGCGGGAGCAGCCGCCTGCTCATTTGCGCTTGTTGAGCCTCTCCAAGAGCCGGCATACATCGAGCAATTTCGGGATGAGCCGCCTCAACCAGAACACACCTCACGTAAAGAGCTAGCAAGTCGAGATGGAGAAAGAGATAAAAGAAACCAGCACAAAAAGAAGCAGAGGGGGACAACAACTAGTCTCGTCTTGCAGCATGCAAACATCAAGATGCAAAGCCAAAGATAAAGGCTTGGTTGTGAATCTGGTGAATCGGACAAGTCCATAGAAATCAAAAAGCAAATCGTCACTTCCCCCGCACGCAAAAAGGAACCTCGTCTGACGTGTCGAGAAGATACAAAAGAGCCTTCCTTAAAAGCGAACGGATTTACGTCGACCAACCATTGGTTCAGGGTGGTCCCTACTTTCCAACCTTTGGTATGTTAGCAAAAGGAACCGTGCTCTGTGCAGCCCGCTACCAAAAATGAACCAAGCCAAACCACAAACATAAGCCCAAGTGGTATCCCCAACATCCCCGGAAATTCCTGGAACCGAATCTCCGGATCCCTCCCCCAAATCACCCCCTAGCGCCTATCAGCGCAGAAAAAAAAAAAAAAAAACAAGAACTCTGGGGGAACGGGGGGAACCGGGGGGGGGGGAGGGCACCTGGAAGATGAACTTCCTCTTCAAGGGGCTCTCTGTCAAGTACCATGATGGGAATGAGGGTGAACCCTAATGACAATAAACCATGTCAAGCAGCGTAATGACCATAAATCAAAGGAATAATGCCAAGAGCAGTGAAGATTTTATTAGCCATATTCCAGTGGCTGTGGGCTCGTGGGCCAACTCCCAGGCTTCAGCCCTCCCGCCCCCGTGACTTTGCCACACGCTCGGGCAAAAGGGGGGGCGGTCGTCCGATGCCAGTGAGTGGAGCAACCGGTTTGGCAGCTCCCTTGCGGCTCAAAGATGGGAACGAGAGAACAAAGAAACCTTCAGCCCTCCCGCCCCCCTTGGTGACTTTCGCCATCGGTTTTGCAGCTCCCTCGTGTCTTCGTGCCCCAAAAAGGGGCGGGAACGAAAGCACCGTCGACTCACCCGGAGCGACTCCAGCGACCGCCGCCTTCCGGAGGGTCTGCAGCAAAGGCAGGCCCTGACCCGAGGGAGATGATGCGGCACTCCCTAAGGCCCTAAGGGTGGGCCGCGGTCTTGACGGGGGCCCCTGCCGGCTTTAGAAGGGGACCTGAAAGGAAGATCACAAGCGGCACACCCACAAACAAGCCGCGAAAGCAACACAGGAAAGGGCCAGGAGCGGAGCATCTCTGTGCACAGGTGGCTGCGGGTCGGGCTCTTCAGATATCGCCTTTCCTTGCGAGGCATTTGATCTGAGGGGGTTATGGCCCAGGAATGAACGATTCCGTGGTGAGCATTAAACAAAAATTGCCTCACTTGTAGTTCATGTCCTGCGTGCGTCAATATGCGTGGGGGTAGGTTTGATTCATGGCACGCTTGATCCGCAATCAAGAATGAGCACCCCTCCAAAAGGGTACCCTCCTAGAGGATCCCTTTACCACCCCTGCAAAAACAGGCATCTTCATCTTTGCTTCTACATTCCCCAGAAAACGGTCAACGGCCTTTCCTTGCAAGGCTCCCAAAATATCAGTGAACCCCCCTCTCCCCTGCCCCCCTCCAAAAAACGAACAATTACTTCGCGTCGAGCAATCCCCACCCTCCACACTCACGAGCTTACGACCGTGAACATGGTTCTGTGAATTCCAACAAGCTTTGCATTGAGAGCCTTATCCACCTGTCTGTGTGTCAAACTCCACTTGTCTGCGAGCCGATCTCGAGAACTCAAACATCGGTTCCGTTAACAATAGCTAAGCCCCCTCCAAAAAAGAACCCCGACGGGGGGTTAAACAAAGTTGCTTATTCACAACCCAAAGCAACACAAAAGCATCACCCTTTCCGAGCCTCAGGGTACACTCAAAACACGAAGGAACCAACATGAAATGTAAACCCAACTGTGCGCCGGGCGGGACATTAAGCAAAACCAGGCTGGCGAGCTGCTCTGGCGGGATACTGGCGGGATCCACAGCCGCTCCGGCTCGATACTGGCCGGATACTCGGCAGGATCCACCGGCAAGAGATACTCAGCGTGATACTTGGCGGGATCCACTGGCGAGCTACTCTAGGACATTCAGCGAGATATTCGGCGGGATCCACTGGCGGGCTACTCTGGCGGGATGCTCGGCGGAATCCACTGGCGACGGGATACTGGGGGGGATCCACTGGCGAGCAGCTCTGGCGGGATACTCGGCGGGATCCGCTGGCCAGCTGCTCTGGCGGGATACTCGGCGGGATCCAGGCGGGATACTTGGGCGGGATCCACTGGCGGGCCGCTCTGGCGGGATACTCGGCGGAATACTCTGGCGGGATACTCGGCGGGATCCACTGGCGAGCTGCTCTGGCGAGATACTGGGTGGGGGCGTGGTGTAGAAGCATCGCAAACGCGGATTCCAACATAAAATCTAACAACCCCTTCCTGTCAGGTTGGGAAAAATATATCCCCACAACCTCTTGGCGCCGGATCGATCCAGCCTTGGAACCGATGGGCAGGATACCGTCTGGGCCCACCAAGCCGTGCGCCTGGCTTCGAGGCCAAAGTCTGGCGCCGGTCAGCCAGAGTCGTCCGATCGATGCGGCCGAACCTCTCCATGTCATCGACCCTTAGATGGATTTCCCTGGTAGTTGATTGAACCACCAGGTAAACCAGGGCCCTATAATGTTAAAGCAAATCAACCAAAAAGGACACCTATGCTTGTGTGTGTGTGTGAGTGGGCTGTCGGTTTTCGGATCCCCTGCCAAAAGTGAATAACTCTTCGTGGCTTCTATGGAAACCACCGAATCTAAACCAGCTCAAAAGAAAAAAACCTAAGGAACCGATTGGCTAAAACCCCAGGTGAATTCTGCCCCGGGCCTGGCTCCAAAAGGACACGAACGCCACGGCGAAGCAGAGGTTCATTGAACCTGAGGCGCAGATGAAGCTGACAGAGTTCATCCAACGAGCGTCCAAACATCACCTCCTTGGATGGTTGCGAAATCCATTTCACAACACCTCAGCAAACTCTGGTTCCTGATGATTATTTTGCCACGCAAACAATGGGAGACTTCATGGGTTCCAAGCGGCGAACGGATTTCGTCCATCCGCAGCATGTCTCCAAAAAAAACACCACGAGCTGGAAGCGTTTGGGCGGCTTTGCCGACCATTTCGAGGGTGACCTCACAAGCCACAGCAAGCAAGAGCGCCAAAATAGAGAGATGTTGCTCCGCGAAAAGAATATTCTAGGGGTGCCTTCCCCATTCTTTCCAGGGATCCTTCTTTCTAAAAATTATCAAAACAAAAACAGGCAAAACGGCCGGTGTTTGAAAAGAACGACGCTTGAAAAGAATGGGGAGGAAATACAAGAAATCAATGCTAGATTTGAGAATGGCGCATCCACCAAAAGAAATCAATGCGATTTGGAAAGGAGGAAGCGGAAAAGCATATGGTGGCTTATTGTTGACAGAGTGCCGCGGATGTGGGTTTAGCAAGTCTCAAACGCGTGAATGAAAAGGGTGGCAAATATGAGCTGGAAATGGCCACGCAGCAACGTGAAATAGTCGAACATCATTTTGACCAAATTCAAGGCGTGCGTACCAGGATCAAAACACAGCAAATAATTTGTGTGCTGGGCAACCAAAAGGGTTGATTTCCTCATTTGAATGCAGGGTGCCCTTTTTGCTGGTAGTCTTAAGGGAAACCCAAAAAGGAAACCACCCCTCCCCCCAAAAAATGGAGCAACCCCCCCCAAAAAAAAGAAGAAACGGAACTTCCCCCCCCCCCACCAAAAGAAAAAGAAATGCCACAACTGTCTGGCGCCCTGGCCCCCTAGACCTTCCCTCCCCGGACTTAATGGATGTTTGTCCCAGCAGCACAGGAGCACGGGCACCAGGATTCGGGTGCCCTGCACCGGCAGCCAAGCGCCTCGCTCGGCTAGTTGCTACTCTTCTTTTTTTTGCTGGGGGTGGTGAGGGAAACCAAAAGGAAAAACTATCTCTTTTTCTGTGTTTGCCTTGTTTTTGTGCGAGTGGGGAGGAACCGTCTTGCTTTCCTCTTCTTTCTTGTTTTGTCTTTGTTTCTTGTTTTCCTCTTTTTTTTGGGGGGGGAGACAACCCCATTGGTTATGTGTCAAAATGGCGGGGGGTGTACCTCCAAAGTGGTGCTTCGCCTTTTGGTGCCTCAAACCAACCTGAAAAGGGTATCCTATAAAAACATATATATATATATATATACACATACACAGAGTGACACACACACACACACTGTATATGTATATAGGGAAAACAATAGGATGTGTATGTGTGTGTGTGCGCGTACTTTGGGAGGGTCTCGGAGACCCTCCCCAAATTTGACACATACCCTGGGTTCGTGTTCACCATTTTGGAGCCGAGTTCCGAAAGAAGGCATCCTTTGAAAGAATAGAGATGGATTACACTGGTTGAACGACTTGAACTAAGCTGAAACCAGTGGAATCCATCTATCTTCATCAAAACTGACCGGAAGAAAGGGTGAACCTATGCTTGAAGTTGTCCTTTTGTTGATGAACGATCTCTGTGATAGCAAAGGATCTTCCTGCTGCAGTTCTTGCTGTGACATGCCCATCTGGTTGCTGACCTGGCGAA